CTTTCCCTGCCTTCACTCTACTGCTCCTCAACGGTTCGCTCCCTACGATCAATCAGTCAGTATGCTCCAGGTCGCTGTCTAATCCCTAACCATAATGCGCCTACTAATTTCAGATTTCAACACATGTTGCCCTTTTCCTCTTCGCGTCGCTCCCCTGAATCATCGTCTCTGGCAACTTCACTCTTCCCAAGCTGCTATTATGGCGTCCACCGAGCAGATAGTCAAGAATGTATCTCCTGCCTTATTTGAGATGGAGGACCGCCGTCAGTGCCGACCGAACCGGATGCTGATCCTGTGGAAATTAACTCGGATACAGAAGGGGAGCAGGGGAACAAGCTGCAGCGAAAATACTTGACAGGCTTTTAACGATTGGGTATGTTGAGTTAGGTCCTTTCTGAGTCAAGAAAGGCAGCAAACTCATTGCATAGTGTTTCGATTGCCCTCTTTCTCCCACCGTCGAGACCAGCATTGTCATTACCTCGGTGATTTCGATCACCAACGCCTTGAATGGCTTCTTGATTAAGGTCTGGGTTGTCACTGCATACCTATTGACCTACACGGGCGAGTAACTAGTAACATGAAGAAGAATAAAGCCATAAAACAACGGCTGAGAAACAAGTCTAAGCTTCCTCGTTCGCTAAACTCAGTGACATCTTTGGGAGAAAGACAATGCCCATCCCCGCCTTGACAATTTTCTCTTTGTCTTCGCTTCTGTGCGGTATTTCCAACTCAAGCGTTGAACTGTGAGTTATAAACAACCCTGACCCAGCCATCCAGTAAATCTCATGCACGACTTAGGATTATAGTCCGTGCATTCCAGGGTATTTGTGCATTGGAAATTTACTCCATGGTCATGGTGATTGCGCCAGACATGGTGCCCCCGAGATATATGGAAAGTATATTGGTATTGTATCAACTGTTTTTATCGTCGCCAGTGTCCTGGCCCATGTCCTTAGTGGCATCATCAACACGCATTCGTCATGGAGATGGGTATTCCTTCTCAAGTAAGCCGACTGCAGAAATTCGGCAGTACGAGGCTAACCTAGTGTTCCGTGGGGGTCTTGTCACACCGAACAGCTTGGAAAAATTCACTTATCACATTGCCGTATAAGCCAGGCCAGACGAGCAGAACTAGATTCTAGAGATTAAGTATACTGACTGCAGAATATTGCAGAATAGAACAGAATTTTGCAATCGAGCGGGGGCGAAGGTCGCATGCATTCCTAACCCAGCTTTACATGTGTTTCATCACGAGGTGAGGCTCACTGAGGCGACGTATGCGATTTAGTTTTCCCAAGTAAATCTATAAACACAGGTAGTGAAGCATATAAATAGAAACAGAGCAGCTATACCAGAATTTGGAGCAGTAAGAGAGGGCAGAAGAGTGAAGACTTACCCTAATACTAAAAGGTCAAATATTGGCCTTCCTCATGGATTAGCAGCAGTTCTTATCATCTATCGCCTCTAGGGCTCTAACTACAAACCCTACTATGTCCTAGATTAGATAGATTTGGCATATTGTGTTAAGGATCATTTTGCTCAGCCTGATAATCTGTCATGGTTATCTGGACTTTGGAGTTCTGTGAATTTGGGATGGTGGTAATTCATCCCTCGAACTATGGACGGAGGGAGATCGGCAAGGGGTGTAAGGGGTATCAAGAGATGGAAATGGATGCCTAGAAAGGTAACTATGCGATTTATTTTTGAGGTCCAATTATCGGAATCGGCACGAGGAGGTTATTATCTCTGGAATACCCGTTGAAGCTTCGCTACGGAATGTAGTTCGGTAATCTCTCGGTACCGAGTTTCCTCCGTGTGACATAATTGATCCTATTTTTCGACTTTATTTTTCCGTCTTCTATGCAGGTAGACTTTCAGTCAATCTATGTCTATATCACAGATTAAGACCTACAAATATAAAACAGAAAAAGTCGTAAACACATCACCACATAGAATGGGTGAACAGACGAAGCGTATGTTTGGTAGACACGCAGTTAGTCCTAACTCTAAGCAACGTGGCAAGTGCTTGACCAGATGATGACGTGTTGACATTTCACCATTACGTTTGTGAGATCCAACTCAAATATACGTCAGACAATGCTATGTCAATCAGATTCTGAGGAACCCGTGTAGAAGCTCCAAGTAGATGCTCCAATTTAATGCAGAAAATTTGACCTTGTATGGGATGGCTCAGGGCTGAAACTCGGCTTTCGGGATTATGTCGGCCACTGAACGGTATGATGATAGAGCGGCAATAGCTTGAGGTTTGGGAGTATATATATCCCGGAGGTCCTATTAACTCTAGTGTTCATATAATCTTATATCACTGCTACAACCGTAGATATTTCACAGCCTCTCGCAGGCTAACTCTCACCATGTCGACCCTACCTCCGGAAAGATCTCGAGCACGACGCGACACCAACAATCTTGAATTGGTACCAACGGAGACTAGAGAGACTCTCCATGAAGCTGGATTCAGCCCAAGTCCCCCTGAGATTGGGATCAATTATCCCGAAGTCGGACGTCCTACCGACCCCGTCTTCCCCGAGGAATACAACATCGAGACTCAAACGGGGTTGGTCCCAGCACGGACACTTGAATCAATCCGTCCGACGACTAGCAGGGGCCGGCAGATCTCGCCGGCGGATGTGGAAAAGGGAGGCGAACCCGTGGATTTTGTCACGTTTACGATTAATGACCCGGATAATCCGCACAACTGGAACCAGTTATACCGCTGGTACGTCACTATCGTCGTCTCGGTGCTCGTCGTGTGCGTCGCTTACGGGTCGGCCTTCGTCACCGGTGGACTGGGCCTGATTGAGGAAAAGTATCATGTTTCGCTCGAAGTGGCTACACTGACCGTTTCGATCATGGTCTGCGGGTTTGCGGTTGGCCCGTTACTCTGGAGTCCTCTGTCGGAGATCATCGGCCGTCGTCCCGTCTATGTCATCTCGCTAGCACTGTACACGATATTCCAAATACCCTGCGCTCTTTCTCCCAACATCGGTGGATTGCTGGCCTGCCGCTTTCTCAGCGGCGTCTTCTCCAGTTCTGGTCTGTCGCTGGCTGGCGGTACCATTGCAGATATCTGGAATATCGAAGAGCGCGGCATGGCCATTGCCTTCTTCGCCGCAGCGCCCTACTGCGGTCCCGTCGTGGGCCCCATCGTGTGCGGCTGGATCAACGTCGGTTCGCACCGACTGGACCTATTCTTCTGGACCAACATGGCCTTTGCCGGCGTCGTCATGATCATCGTCGGCCTGGTGCCAGAAACCTACGCCCCCGTGATCCTGAAACGCCGCGCAAAGAAGCTGCGCAAGGAAACAGGCAATCCCAACATCATCACCGAGCAAGAAAAAGTAAAGCTGAGCTTCAAGGATATCGTGCGCATAAACCTCGTCCGTCCAATCACGATGATCCTTACCGAGCCCGTCCTCGACCTGATGTGTATGTACATTGTGCTCATCTACGCCATGCTCTACGGCTTCTTCTTCGCATTTCCCGTTATCTTCGGCGAACTGTATGGTTTCAACGACGGGCAGATCGGCCTGATGTTCATCCCAATTCTGATCGGCGCTGGTTTTGCGCTCCTCGTAACGCCCCTCATGGAAAAGCAGTTTCGGCGCGTCTGTCGGTCTCGCGCCCCGACACCCGAAGACCGACTGGTCGCTGCGCTTATTGGAGCCCCGTTCATTCCGATCGCATTGTTCATTCTCGGTGCTACCTCGTACAAACACATCATCTGGGTTGGGCCGGCTTCGTCCGGTATCGCGTTCGGCTTTGGCATGGTGCTCTGCTACTACGCGGTTAACAACTACATCATCGATTCCTACCATAAGTTCGCGGCCTCGGCGCTCGCCGCTAAGGTGTTCTTGCGATCCGGAGGCGGCGCGGCTTTTCCGCTGTTCACTACCCAGATGTATCATAAGCTTGGCCTGCAGTGGGCGTCGTGGCTGCTGGCGTTTCTGGGGGTGGGGATGGTATTTATCCCGTACGGGTTCTATGTCTATGGAGCGAGGATACGGGCTAGATTTGAGAAGCATTGATCACAGCATGAGCATGTAATATAATGTAAGATAGATGGGTTATTATGACATACATCAGTTGCGACGTAGCAACTCAGATGATGCTCAACATGAGCCAAGTATCCTTTCATTTCGGGAATTAGCTCAGCCTTGTCGAACATGGGACGCAGCAGCATGGCAGGGCACTAGAAGACATGATGTTATTGGCAGCAAGCAATGCGCCCGAATTGCGATTGATGTCTACATAGACCTGCACGCTGTGGTGGAATACCAGCCATTTGTGGCGCATGCTCCAAGTAGACTATGTGAAAGATATCCCCACACAGGTAACACTCCGTTCTTAGCCTCAGAAACATCGCTCTTCATGGACAACGTCTACGACAATGGCCAAGCCTCTAGTGGGTTTGATCGGCGCAATTATATTCTTATCCGGTAGCCAACGACAATGCAATCAGCCTCATATCCTTCATGTCCTCTACAACTCGCTCCCATGACGACCATACCGTGGCATGGTTATACGCCTTGATTCTAGAGAAAACAGCGGCGGTACTCCTTGCTAGATACTCTTATATAATAGCTAGTCTCTTTTTCTAATCCTTAAACATACTATTCAGACCCAATGATACCAGCGCATTATCACAGGGGTTATAGTGGCACCAGGTCTAACGCGTACTTTGAGCAATAATTGCCAACAACTTATCGGATGAGATATTCCTCTGCTACTAGCTACTATCTAAGGATCCTCATTGCGTGTACTTAGAAGTACCTCAAAGAAGAAGCTGTAACAATCGAAGTACCAATGGAAAGTAGCAGACGTGAGATCAAAACACTAGCTCCCCAATACCTCCTCTGTGCCGACTATGGAACCTCATACCATGTGCTCCGCTGATTGCAGAGATGTGCGCTCTGCCAGTCATGAGATACAATCAAATCACGCAACCAGACAAGTCTTTAAAACCAAGAGGCTAGATTCACCTAGGCAAGACGACAGAGCCCGTCACAAGGATACTCATAGAAAGTTCCACAGCCGGAACCGGTCTGGGTACAACCTCCTCCAACGCAATGGTAACCAGAATCACAGTAGTCAGACTGGGTGGCGCAACCACACTGCTCATTATTATCCCGAGGCTGCAATGGCTTATCATCCATGGTGGCAAGAAGGGACTTGGCGTCCTTGAATCCAAAGGCGGAGATAGCATCGTTCTTCAGAGTGTCCATGGCCTTGGGGTCGAAATTCTGTCCTTGCTTCACAAGGTCGGTGGCCTTATCGATGACGGCAGACTGAGCAGGATCCAAGGGCTCATGTTGCTGGCGGAATTGATCGAAATGGGTTAGCCAGGCTGCACTTGCAGTAGTTGCAGTGCCTGGAAACAGGGAGCTGGAGCTGGAGACAGAAGTAGACTGGGCAAAGCCTGCGAAACCGAGGGCGATGAAGTAAAGAGTGGACTTCATTGTTACTCGACGACTTTAGGGACGTGGTTGTTAAGACAGTATTGTCTCTAGAGAGTGCAAATAATTAATGCTTTGAGGTGACTGACAGAAACAGAGGAGAAGATGAAGCTTAATTATGTCTTCGAGGTAGTAGGCATGCACCTGCTTATTTGGAATCATATACAGCATACCTTGCTTACAGCTTCCTTGATTGGCATGCGAGAAATTTTTACATTCCATAGTTGATAGTCACTCTAGATGTATAGTTACACCAGGAGACAAAGCAGCCATGAATAGAATGGTGATCATCACTGTCATGCTCAAGCTTTACAGGTGACTGCTAATTCTAGCTATTATTTTTATACCGCATCAAGGAACTTGCGGAATGGCGGGTTGACACATCAGTATGACATGGTCATAGACCCAGAATCCAGAATGTTGACACCTGACCACAGCAAGGAGGTAGCTAAGCGGTGCTCTCATTCCTCAGACCAGGGACACAGAGTAAGAGCATGACAAACTCGGCTATTTTCAGCAACAGCGCCAAATCTGCCGTCAAATGCCTGCCGTTCCCATATTAACTTGATTCAGTGCACATGATGCAGAGCTGCCATACAGATTGCCAGCTCGGTATCGAGGCTGATAGCAACACACAAGCGAAAATTAAGAGAATATTTCCGACTTTTGGGTTTAAAGAATCCAGCCCTTGAACTTTGATTCTATGGTGCAGTAAATCTCTCACTAATAGCTCAAAAGAAGCTAACGAACTATTCTCATTATCCTCACCATGAACACTACCTAATAGCCAGCACAGATGGCTCATCATCCTGACTGCGTGATCCGTAGAAAAAAATTTTAACTAGATATAGGCTGGATGGAGCTTCTGAAGATTTATTTACAGGTGGTATGGCATTCTCTTAATTCTGTGAGAGTCACTGTTCACTTACCATAGCACAGACCCATCCCATGTAGAATGTAAAGCATCTGAGTTTAGGATGAGAGCCATGGGGAACTTGAATAGCGCCCCACTTGATGTTTTCACCTTCCCTTGGATATTGCTTCATTCCACTGCACTACTAACACCCCTCTTCCTAAAGCTCGCTGAGAGTCTCATCACTTGATGATGGGGGACCTGTCTTTTGCGGAACCAGGTAGAGGGAACCTTACTTATTGCGGCTTGACACTGGAACGCTACAATAATATATCCAACCCCTCCGGGGTCAGAAGGATGGCAGTATATAATCATCCTTCCAAAATCAGTAATTCGACAACATATTCTCTGGTTGAGATTAGCTTTGTATCACGGAGTCTGAACATGCACTACATGCAGTATACAGCACTTGTTATCCAAGATATGCGCTGTTGTGACACAAAAAATACTCCTAGAGCTCTGCAACTAACTGCATTGTGCTATTGTGGTTGTACGCAGCAGAGGGTGATGACCATGCGGCTAAAACTAAGCAACTCCTATTCCTACCGATGTCCAATATTCCTTCTGACTTGAACCATGTTTTACAACTTTTTTTCCTTGAAGCTTGAAGCGCAAATGGACCCCACGCAGAATCAAAAACTGCCGCCCGCCGAGGTGATCTAAAGGCGCAAGTGTTTAAGACATTACAAATTTCAGCGTATTGTAAACTCACAGACCTTGCCCAATGAAACTCTTGCACCCGTTCAAGAACTTTAAGTTTCTCATCATATGGGTGAGCAAAGCTGCAGCAGTTTTTGTGCTACCTTCCTACAGTTGACCAAGCCTATATAGAAAAAGAGCATAGACATTCGTGATTTAAGCTTAGGCAAACCTGCGTCTCCCAGTTTCCTACTAGATTCATTACGGCCAAATGGAATGGCACCACCTAAGCATATCAGCCAGCAACTTCTAAATCTTCAGCTGAAGGGCAACACACCTCATCTGAGTAACCGTAGAGAGACAAGAAGTGGTGATCCTCGACTAATCAAAGACTAATCTAGCCATTCATTCCTTCGACATGGTCCTTTAGAATGGTGGCGTAGAATGACTCTCCGCTTGGTTCAAGACTCATTGCAACATCAATGGCCGTCTCGCCCTTTGCATTTCGCACCATAGGATCCAGACCCTTTGAAAGAAGAAGCATAAGCCTATCATATGTCCTCAGCGTTCTTTTCCTTGCCACGATATGCAGCAGCGTCTGGCCCTCGGAGTCTTGTGCTGTCAAGTTTACCCCAGCCTTTTCGAAGATCTCCAGGACTTCTTCGTCGATTTTGGCGTATGGCTCATCCATATCCTGCCATACATCCCACCTATATCCCTGTCGATTCTGATATCGAGAGGTCTCAAATGCTGTGAAATACAACTCAAGGGCAGATTGCCCATCCACATTTCGAGCGTTTGGATCAACACCGCGGTCCAGAAGTAGGCGGCATAGGCGTCTCTGTTCGTCACCGCGCACGCCAAAGTCATCCAGCCAGCTCAGCGCCAGGTAATGCAGAGCGGTATTACCCCGGGGATCGCGGACCAGGGGGTCCGCGCCTGCCGCTAGGAGATCATCAATCGCGCTCTCCAGCGTGCCGAGATGCTCAGTCTTCGACCAGTAGGCCCGAATGCGGGATAAGGCAGCAATTAAGGGATATACGCCTGCCTTGTCAGGCTGGTTGACGAGCGACCCATAGTTATTAGCCACATATCGGAGGGAGGCACTAATAACAGGCGGTTCACTGGACCGCAATTGATGTCTTGCCTCAAGAAGGTGATGTAACACATTCTTTCCATAGTTATCAACAGCCAACACATTCGCACCTCGGTCGATGAAGTAGTCAAGTAGTGTTGGCGTGTCCAGTGAGGTTGTTGTAGTTACTCCAGGGAGCTCTTTAGCTTTCCAGCAGTTGTCTGGCTGGGGAAATGGATTATGTTTGATACCACGGTCACTCTCCTCGTAGAAAAGATCCCCATGCACGCCGTCAATTGCAGCATCAGCGCCCAAGGCACTCCGACAGGCAGACAGGAGGAGCGTTCGACCCTGCGGGTCTCTGTGCTCAAGAGTGAGGTTGGTGCCTAAGAAGTCGAGCACTGGGCGGACGAATTCTCCATTTTCAAGGAGAAAGTGTATAACGCTGCATACACCATACTTCCGTGGAAACAAAGGTCGATTTGAGTCCACTGAATAAAATTTACGGAGCAGGTATTGCTCACGCTCTTCTCGACGCTCAAGTTGGGTGATTCCCAGGTCAGCATCCTCGTCGATGACCTTGTCGTCTTGTGGCTCGCCAGGGAAGCGCGACCAATAGTTGTAGATCCTGATCGTCTGGCGAAAGAGGGCGTAAGGGTCAGCGCCCTTTTGCAGGAGTGCTGTTGCCATTCGTGTCATATTTGCCTTTTGCACTTGAGAATCTGCTGGCAGACGTGAATATGTTAAAGCAAAGTGAAGAGGGTACCACTCGTCTGGATCCTCATAGATTTCAGGGGGCTGGGAGCTCTTATTGCTGCTGGCCCAGTCCTCCACTACTCCGGCTGTATTGGTGTGGTCCGCGTAATCTGGTCTAGTATTTGGGTTAATGGCACCAGTAGCCAGCAGAATTTCAACTGTCTCTGCTGCACCTGCAGATAGAGTCCCGTGACGGGCTGCTTCGCAAAGATCAAAAGCATCTGGCTTGTGCCCCTGGGACAGAAGCTCACGCACACGGTCGGGATTTTTGACCGCCCGAGCAATTTCCCAGTCCCTTTCCTTGAGGTCCATGATAACCCCCATATAATTAGAAGGAGTCCTGAGCACTTAGAAATGTTAGGTTTTTCAACCAACTGCGCTCTGATAGAGACCCGGAAGAGAGATCGAGCGCTCTTTATGAGCGGAGAACTGGGTCAAACGACTTCTTGAAGGGGGCGGGAAAACGTTGCAACCCCTAGCTACGTAGTTATCATCAATGAGAACAAATACTTATTATATCGTTATTATGGAATTTTTAGCCCCGGAGCCTAAGCTGGAAATGGGCATGCCAGGTCACATCTAACTCCGCCACCATTAACCGACGCTTCCACCTAGTTTATAGGGTCGCCCGCTAGGGCGACCTTGTCCGAGACATTCAGGAGAGAGCTAGTCTTCAAACAGAAAATGGAGGCCCTGATTAATATATACTGGTCAAGCTGGACGCTAGCATACTGCACCAGATGATTGTCAATTGCTAGCAATATCTTTTCCTCCCAGAATTTGCTACTGAATGGGCTTACGGGCATCCATGGAGACGCAATCTGTTGAATTCGCTAGCATTAGTAGAGTTCCCGAATCACTAGTAATTTATAAGGCCAGTTGAAAGTCAATGAAGGTCCGATTCTACTTAATGAATGACTATCTAGCTCCTATTTATGCCTTCAATAAGGGTCAGATTTGAGGGTATTCAAATGAACGAATGCTATCGAATATTCTGCCGAGAGTGGCAGTGCTGCCGTCAATTCTTATGCGTCCAAATCGGGCAAGCGGTAATATAATTCAATACCTTCTTCCCCCCTCCACCCACCCCCAAAGTTGAGCCGTTAGGCAAAGCTGCATGCGAAATCAGCCATATCCATCTCCTAATCGGGTATTGTGTTGATTTGACGGCATGGATCAGGTTGAAGCTCAATCTCTGCCACCTGATTGGTCGACGAGCCCAACCATCTTGCAAAAGTCAGTATTCTTATTCTTCGGCAGTATCTTCATCAGGCCATCTGCCGGCATATGATTCGTTTTGATCCATTTGACTGAGATGCGGCCTGATTGGACCTCTTGCCGAAGCCAGTGCTGGTGGATTTCAACATGGCTTAGCTTCGTGCGAATCGTAGGCTCCTCGTTGCGTAGTAGCGCTACCGTTTGACGATTATCGCACAGAATGGATATCCCATGCTCAGGATCGAATCCAATATCGAGGAACAATCGCTTCCACCAACAGACGTTCTTCGCGGCCTCCGAAACAGCAAGGAATTCGGCCTCAGTAGTGGAAGTGGTGACCGTTCGTTGCTTCCCTGCGCGCCAATCCACGGCGGCACCGAATAGCTTCATCAGATATCCCTCGCTGCTGCTACGATCTAATTGGTCCCGTAGGCAGCGTCACTTGCAATGATGAACATATTCCCTGTCAGATCACCTCCGTATTCCAAAGTGTAGTCCCTTGTCGAAGCGAGATATAGACCGTCTAGTTATTCCACCTGTATGGTTTTCGTTGATTCCGGAAGATGGAACCAGGGTTAGGATCCCACATTATCGTGTCGCCTCTGAGCCCTGGACAATATCTCCCATACTGGATGGTCTCTGGGGAGCATATATAGATTGACGATAACTTTCTGTGCTCTCTATTTGAGTCGCAGGTGCGTTGGTGGCATGTATGCTTTTATACCAGGTTGGTTGGTTGATATCATTTAGTCGTTTCCCTAGTGAGGCCTGCAGTGCCCCTATCGGACAGAGGCGAAAGACAATACTTCCAGACACTGGTAGCGCTGCCGAGTCACTCTCGTAATGTGTGAACCCCCTGCGAGTGCTGGATGCCTCCACTCCATTTCACTGAGTGTGGTCATTCAAGTTATGTCCGCCATCAGCGATAGGCTTGTTGATGGCCGCCGTGTCATCGGACCATCAGCCTATTCAGATATATATTGAGGTTTGTACTAGTCTGTTTAGACAACAACGTAAGATACACGGGCTCAGACTGGAACCATTTGTACTAGAATTACCCTAATAATATTCTTTTCAGGTACAATGTCATATGACTAACCACTATCCCAGCGTCCTCAAGCTTTTTCTTCTACAGCTCGTTCCTCCAACTTCTTCCGTAACTCTCCTTCCTGATTCTTCAGTTCATCAGTTAACTGATCACCAAAATCTTCTGGCCCAGCAATTTGTCGGACTTCAATAGCACTCCCCTTAGCGCGGAATGGTGCTTTGCAGGCCCATGTTGTTGCCTCTTCAACGTCCTTGGCTTTGATTATCCAGAATCCTGAAACGGTGGATTCGTGAGGAAATGGTCCAGTCGCCACCGACGATTCGTTTTGGTGATTAAAGCTGACCCGAGTACCCTTCGAGGATGATAGCAAACCCTCTGCAGCAAGTAATATACCCGCATTGGATAGAGAGTTATTGTATTTCATCATCTCCTCAATAATTTCTGTTGAAGGGGGTTCGCCAGAGTCGCTGTCTTGGGTAGCGCGAACAAGAAGCATGAATTTTGGCATTTTCACAAACAGAAGTGGTTATGAGAGTACGTAAATCTGGAAAGAGGTCAAGTCCCTTTGAGTAGCTTTTAGATTGATAGGTATAGGAGTCTCAAATCACTAAGATGTGATGGTTCCTTAACAGCATAGGGTTTAAGTGGTATTTATAATTAAGATTTTCAGTTACCGTCTTGCGAGGGTAGCCTGGTGGATGACCTGACTATGAAGCTGATGCCTGCGGCTGCCTAACTCATGGCCTTGGCAAGTCGGGGCTGGGGCTTCGAACTCCGGATTTCGGATTTAGTAATTCACCGAGCTCCTATTGTCCCGAAGCCATGTTTGTTTTCATTGCAGCGTATCACAGAGCAGAGGGAGTATCTTGTGGAGCTTTGCGCCCTGTCGGCTCTGTCCGTGGTTAAAGACATCAGAAGGAATAAGGACGAAACATTGGAGATATAATTCCATTCAACTAGCAAGAAGCGGAAGAACAAGACCTCTAGCAGAACACCAGACAAGGAAAAAAGAGAAAAGACCAATTCAGCTCCAATTATATACACCGCCTAATCAGATCCCAAGAGCACCTATTCAGTCTAATCACTGTTGACAGTGCAGCGGGAGAAAGAAGCACCAGCATTTTCAATCATCACTCCAACAAAGTTGTCATTGTAGTCGGTGACAACACGGTACTTGCCGGGTTCGCCGCCTGTTCAAATGGTCAGTCTCGATCCAATAAACAGAGTAATGATGACTTACCAGTCCAAGTTCCGCCCTCAATGATAGGATACTCGCGCAGGTCCTTGGTGACGCCCTCAAAGACCTGGCTGTTACCGCTCATGTTGCCAAACTTGTGGGGATAACCGCCCACGCCGTAGTCATTCCACTTCTTGCACTCCTTGAACGCATTGGCGACAGCATCCTGGGAGAGCGTGACGCCGTCAGGGCAGGTAGCACTACCGATCTTCTTCTTCTTGCCGCGGGTGGTCAGGTCGTTGACAGTGTGGCCAGTGGAATCCTCGGTGATCTCAGTCTCGGTCTCCTGGACGCTGCGCTCCTCGTTGTTGCCCTTCTTGTCGTCCTTGCCCTTGTCGTGCTTGTTCTTGTCATCCTTGTCTTTTCCAGGCTCGCGCTTGGTCAGGTCGTTAGTCTCGTTCTCGGTCTCCTGGACGCTGCGCTCCTCGTTGTTGCCCTTCTTGTCGCCCTTGTCCTTGTCATGCTTGTCTTTGCCAGGCTCGCGTTTGGAGTTGGTGACGCGCGTGCAAGCCGTATAGGCGCCGCCGACGGTTGCGCCGGTATGCTGCATCACACCGCGGAAGTCGCCGCGGTTGTCCTTGTAGTCTGTGACGATGCGGTACGCGCCAGGTTCGCCTGCGCTCGTCAGCTTGTGTCAGTGTCTCCCCGTTTGAGGTGCTTACCGCCAGTGTACACTCCACCCACGACGATGGGGAATTCCCGCAGATCGGTGCTATCGGGAATATTGTCGAAAACTTTTTGGTTGTTGCTCTTGTTGCCAAAGTAGGCTGGGTACTTGCCGATGGAGCTGTCATCGAGTCTGCGGCACTGGTGCAGGGCCTCGCGGATGTCATTTTCAGACAGGGTGGTGCCGTCGGGGCACTGGTAGTCGGCGAGTTTGGGGGCGCGCTTGCTGAGCTGGGGGAGGGGAGAGGCATGGGCCAGGGTAATCAGTCCGTAGAGGACGATGGATTTCATGTCGAAGAGCATTTTGAGAGGCTGGTGCTTTAGACAATGGTTTAGAGGAGGAGAGAGGCTTCTGAGCTGAAGTGGATTGCTTTGATGCTGTTGTTGATGATGATGAGAGATCCGGTGATATCTTGAGGGCTTTATATCTTCACAGTCATAGCTGGTCAATTCAACCCTAACAAGGTTCTAAACTCGGAGCACTGATAGAACGTCTCCTGATCGTCAGGCTGAGTGAGATTTCGTCAAGACTCGAGGCTGAGATGCCATGATTTGGCCCCGGATCTTCCTCCTGTGTATGCTTTGCTCTGTGTATACATTATGGTGTTGATATCCAAAACGGCCCCAGCAGATCAATTCTGGCCTTGGTAGAGATGCTAAGAATGCTTGATACCTTAGACTCTTGGGGCCAAGAGTGGGGGCCGGGAGTAAGCACTACAAGCTAGTCGGGCCCCCGCAGCCAAGACTGGCAGTGTCGAGGGTTCGTGTCGCACCATTCAGCACAGCCCGCCATTTTTGTACAAGCCTCATCCGCTTCTGTAGATCTCAATTGCGCCTCGTCCTTCTTTTATCAATCAGTCAGTCAAAGTTTCTACGTTTCAGATTCCTCCATCAAACTATACTTTCAGTTTATTCGAGAACAGTTACCTACTTTCCTTTCATTACCCACAATCCTCACTATGGGAAAAGAGAACTTCATCCGACAAATCGAAAACTCCGTCGAGTTCAAGCTCCTCGACAAAGTGGTCAAGGAAGAAGTTACAGTGCAAGATGCAGTCCAAGAAGTCATCAACATGACCATGACTGCATTATCCATCCATGGCCCAAACAAGCAAGGCGGTATCGGTCTCCCAGACTACAACGTCTCTCTTGCGGTGATGGAGCTCGCTCAACGCCTGGAGCCATCCAAACAAAGCAAGCTTGTTGAGTTTGTATCTCATCTCCAGAAGCAAGTTGCCGTTGATCCATCCACAAACGAACCCCTCAGGGTCCAAGGTGATATCCTCTGGGCCGATATGCCGTCATTTGGCTACACGGAGCTGGAGACGTGGTATGAATTTGGGGGTGACTACAAAGGTGATACATCTGTCACATTCAAACAGTCAGATTGCTAACGCATGTAGACCCCTGTGATGCAAAATTGGCTTCCGAGCAACGCGGTCGCTGGGCAAATCTCAACGCTTTCCTCGCGCAGCTCACTCAGACCGCGGAAATTCACTATCCACCTCCCAAGGAAGAAGTGCGATTCTCTCCCGTGGACAAATCACTACGAGCCATCTGGACAATGGCCATGGCCCTTGAGAACGAGCGCTCTCCTGCGTCACTGGGAGATACGGCGGCGATGGAAGCCGCTTGCTTGTGGTTCATTTACGCTGCTGAGCGGTTGTGGGCGAATGTGCTCAATGATCGCACGTATCCTGAGGCGGCTGGCGCTGGGCCAGGGAAGAGGTGTGAAGAGAAGGGCTGGACGGGCTATACGCGGGAGCGATGGGGAGTCTGGGAGGATGCGCTGAAGGAGGCTAGGGCTGCATGCGAAAATGAGCGGATGTGGAAGCTGATTGATGATGCGTTGGCGAGTCTGAGAAGGGGAATGGTGGACCAATAGTGGATAGACTCATTTAGCTCTAGTGGACATTCATTCAAATGCTCTGGATGGTTAGTTGTGTATTATAATGATGTTTATTTCTATTCACTTTGTACAAGTCTAGCAGGATCAGCCTGATCTGATTATATATTCAATCTCATCCTTTCGTAACTAGCTCGGTCCCTATAAAGTTTGATCATATTCACTTCATTTGCAAAGCAGATCCTGCATCAGTCGCCTCTTGCTCATTGATCTTTTCTCTTCCTCTATTCGTACACTACTGTAAATTATCAACTTCCCTTCTTCGCTGACTTCCCCAAGCAGTTACGAGCCAGCAAAGAATCTGTCTCTGCTAGTTGTGATGCTAGTGTCTATGTCCATATGAGCAGCATCATTTCTGAGGCAAGGAACAGAATATTAGCGATGAGATACTAAATTATCTATACATGACATTCAGTTTGCATATACAAATGGTGATTACTTATCTACTACCTCTATTATTTCAGTACATCTCTTGAATGGGTGACAATCTTGCTGTCAAGGTGTTATACTAGTAGTACGTGGATAAAAATATATTTATTCGACATTCCGTACTTCTTGAAGAGAAGCCACATTACTTTTCATGACTACAAATGTATATCTGCTAAATTATCCCCCAGCCTGGTCCAGTTACAGTGCTGATTGTGGATCCATGTACTAATTGTCTTTGAGCTTATTATTGTTGAGGTTTTGAGCCTTACCAACTACACTTTCGACAAGGCTGTCTTGATTGTGTGGGGCTGGGCTGAGCATCCTTCACCATTTATTTTCTGCCTTATATCTTGGGCCCCGTAATTAAAGTTCGCTTCTGCACTGCCGAGGGGCCAAACCCTCGTGTCTGCTGTTTTTATCATCAAGGGAATTGACAAGCTCATGCCCAGCCTCTCACACTAATGCATAATACGAGGGGAATAGTGGGGTCTCAGCCTGGCGCTTATGTCGATCCCCCTACCAACATTCGATGATGCATATGATTGATTGGTTGAATGCCGATCTTGTCTGTTGTCAACGTGGCGCAGCGGTTGACAGATCGACAACTGATATACCCAATGAGGATGTCCTATATGGAGGACCCCATGGCCTGTTCGTCTTATTTACCACTCCTCCTGCCTTTGTCTTAGCATTTTCTTCAGCCAAGATAGAACGAAAGAAGTGGCATTCCTACAGAATTGACTTGCACAATGACCAACTCCCTGTCTGCCGCTAGCTACCCCATCTACGCAGTCCTCGCCATGGCTGTGCTCTACCTCCTCATCCGACACGGTCGCCACGGCCTTCTGGGATGGCTCTTCCTCCTCATCTTCTGCATTCTCCGCATCATCGGCGGCGTGGTGGCCGTCAGGGACACCGGCACCGCCGCTAATATCATCTCCAGCGTCGGTCTTTCCCCTCTCCTCCTCGCAACAGCCGGCATTTTGCACGAGGCGTAAGTACTCCGCCCTCAAATACCAGATCATTTCTAACGTGAGCAGTCGACACTATCGCATCCAACCCCTCGACACAAAAATGGAATGGGTCTCCGTCCTCGCCTACCACATGCTCGTCGTCGCAGGCGTGGCCCTCACAGCAGCCGGATCCGCAAAACTCCAGGAGCACCAACAACCCCTCGACAAGGCCGAGAAGATCGCCAAGGCGGGTATTTCGATTCTGGTGGTCGCGTGGGGATTTTTGGTTGGCTGGGCTGGGTTCTCGTTTACTGCTCCCCGGGGACGGAATTCCTCGCTCACGAGGGCAGGGACAGTCGTAAGTACTTTTCTCCACCGTGTATGGGAATGCTATGCTAACGCAAAAGAACAGCTGCTCACGGCCGTCGCCTTCTCGCTCGTGTTCATCGGCATCCGAGTCTTCTACAGTCTTGCTGCGCTGTGCACGCAGAGGCCGTCGCTTAATCCCGTTACCGGGTCGCTGGCTATCCGCGTGGTGCTGGGCTTCCTGCCTGAGGTGATCGCTGTGCTGGGATATATTTTTGCGGGGATCAGGACGCGGGGAGCGGCGCTGTTGGCTCATGTCGAGGAGGAGGAGATGGGTTCAGTTCCGCCGAAACCGCGTGCTCAACCTTGGGTTTAGCCGGCTTAGGATGCATGCGTTTTTTATGTTTGTCTTTCGCTATATACCATACCTAGATGATGAGAGGTTGCAATGTTCAGAGCAATTATAACACACCGCATGGACGCCGTATAGAGAACGTCTTAATAGCGTCGTTTGTGTTATCGTCGCTCTTCTAAGTAGATATAGTCGACGAGCATACTTGGCTATGTATCCAGTGACGATAACCTCGATGGACAATGCCTTAGCGCATGATATCCATGACAAACGCATGAAGACTAGAATGTACATTACACATTAGTAGATACCATCAGCCCTACGACCCAACCTCCTCAAACGCTCTTCCCCTCCCCCTCTCGATACGACAGGCCCACGAAGCCCAAACCGTAAGCATCGAATGAACCACCTATACCATCAGCTTATTCCCTCAACATGAGCCCAACTTACACATTCACAACACAACGACGTACGCGAAAATCTCCGCTCGGAGCATTGCATTCCCGTCACGAACTTCAGAGTAGCAATTATATCCGCCCTCCATCACCAGCACCAGCACCGCCAGCCCGATGCACTCCGTAATCACATTCTCCAGGGACGCAACTGGTCAAAGGCGACGTATATGCCCGGGTGGATGCGTCGGGAGATCAGCAGTATTGTCAGAGCGATGAGGGACCAGAGGAAGGCACATGCGATCAGCTCGTGTTGGCTGCGCTGCACTGACCGATCTTGAGGCGGAATCATCGAACGATGCGTTGATCACTGGGCTGTACAGCTGCGTGATGCTTGACGTGCCTTGGCGGCTCGCTAGGCAAGAACTGGTGGGTTGAAATGGTACGAGTCGTCTACCAGACAATACTCGATAACTTCGGTATATGAGGGCTAATCCCTTCGGACGATCACCACTGGCCCATAGTACTCCCTCCGCCCCTTGACAGCATACATGACCAAACTGAGGGCCAACACGCCTCCGAAGATCACCACGCTCCAGTTAAAATTGTTCACTGTGACGGGGGTTTCACTCGGCCACAACGCCCAGAACAGTGCAAATATGCAGTACAGCAAGCCGACGATATTAACGGTCAAACCCCATCGGCCTAGATCCCACCGCCGCGGGGGCAGGGTATCCGGATGCCAGATCTTCCGGTAGATAATACAGCTAATGGAGATGATATAGGTGTACATGAGAGCCGCTACATTAAGCGAAATAATGGCATTGAAGGCGGTTAGCGAGCCGATGTTAATAAGGGAGAGGAGGCAGCTGATTAGGCACGATAGGGCGATCGCATTCACAGGTATTTTGCGTTTGGGGTCGACCTTGGCGATCCAGCGCGCGAAGGGCAGTCCTTTATCCCGGGCAAAGGCAAATGTTTGCCGGGATGTGGAAGCATTGAACAGAATGTTGCTGAAGATGACGGGAATGAGGATAATTGCCGTCAGCCCATTGACGCCGGCGACTGACGTGGCGTTCTTGAACACGTAGATGAACGGGAATCCGGTAGCGTCGGCGAGTGCGTCTTCGACTGAAGGAATGGCAAAAAGGAAGGAAATGACCACTACAATGGCCATGATGCCGTTGCTAAAGTACCCCCATGCGATCGCAATCGGGACGTAGCGTCCAGCGTCCTTGACTTCTTCAGACATGTGTGCCGTTGCATCGGAGCCTGCCAAAGTTAGAGCAATTCGGAACGAGGCAGCAACATACTCAGCGAAGCATAGATGGCAGAAATCTGCCCGATCAAGGCACTCAGCGCCATACTGGACCAGCCTCCTCCATTCGTCCACTCCGTGAACACAGCCTTGGCAGATTGATGCGGAGCCATGGCCCACAGTACAATCACGACTACGGTCCAGGAGAGGATATGCAGGATCATCAGCAGGTTATTAAACAGAGGCATCATGTCCGCCGCGTAGACGTTGAAAAAATAGATCACTACAATCATGGCGAAAACGAACAATGTTCCTTGCCACCGCTCGGGATTATATTCTGGATCACGAACGCTGATGAGCCCTTGGATGATTGTCCCGGTCAGAAAAGACCCTGACGCAGAGCCGGCCTGCCATGCTAGAACGGACATCCAGCCTGTGATGTAGCTTAGAAATTTCTGGTATCGCGGGGAAGCGAACTCGGACACCCAGTGGTATTGTCCGCCAGAGGTCGGGGCCCTTTGCAGTCAGCAGGTGCCTTGATCTCATACCCACGCAACGGAGACGAAGACGTACATGGAAGCCATCTCCGACAACGATGCGATGATAAAGCCGAACCCGACAAACGTCCACACATAGGACCACACCATGCCCGCGAGCCCGCCATTTTGCAGCCCTTGCGTGTTGGATCTGGATCACTCAGTATGATCGGTCGGAAGGATGAAGCGCACTCACATGAGAATAAACTCCCACGTTGCCTGAAGTACCGACGCGAAACTCAATGCCGCCAACGGGCGGAGATTCCTCTGTTGGTGTCAGAACATGGCCATATCACCATCACCGACTATTCACCTTTAGTTCCTGGACCTTTCCCATGCGCTGCATATCATGGCCATCATATACCGTTCCCGTGTGTTTCGCATTTGTGTTGGTCGCGCGTTGTCCTGCTTCCACCTGGAGCGAGGCCATGGCCAGCGCCTTGGATGCCGGCTGCATCGTAGAATTGTCATGTATCGATGCCATTGTCGGTTTATCGAAGTCTAACAAAGGTCCGTCGATATGCGCAACGATCAGAAGGAAGAAAAAGAGGGGAAGATGCAGGCTGAAGCAAGGGGGAGTGACGCTGACGAGAACAAACAAAACAAGCGAGGTGGGGTTACACAGGGGCATGGGCGTGCTCGTGTCTGTTGCTCTTCAGCTATGCTGACGTGGTGGGATAATAAGCATAACCCTGATACTAACAGTCAGCATTCTTTTCATCCTCATTTGCATCAGTGGTCAGGAGACTCGCCTTGATCCCTGCTGTCTAGGATGATCATGCAACTAACGCATCAACAAAACCTTCTTCACCAACCACTGCGATTCCTCATCATGTCAGATTCCCATTCGAGCCAGCTTTCTTTCCAAAATCGTAAGGCCAATCCTTGACTCTTAAAAAAGCCTGTGATACCCTCGCTGACTTCGCCTTCCGCTGGCCATATATCCCGGTTATCTCACCCGCTCTGCTTATATGAGCAGTTTATTACCTTAACAATGTCGCCCTTCCTTATGAGCAGCTTTTATCGACATCGACGTCAGTCATGACTACCATGGCTCTCCCGTCGGGTGTTAGTGGCCCTCCAACGGTGAACCGGAAGGATAACCATGGAGGGCTGGTAGTAGTGATCACCGGCTTCTGCTTGGTCCTGGTACTTTCATCCCTGGCCGCTCGGACGTTTTCCTCGTACAAGAGACGGATTATCCAGAGGGACGACTACGGGTTTATGGCTGTACTGGTAGGACGCTAAAGTTTCTTTGCAAATACAGCCTAATTTGGAGACAGGTTGTTGCACTGGCGCAGACGTCATTGGTACTGGCGCAGGTTCACTACGGCTGGGGAGCAACCGGAGAGAGACTTGCCTCCGCAACGAAGGAAAAAATGCTCAAGGTAAGTCAAAGCGACCGTGTGTTTCCTTCATACTGACATCCGCAGATGGGATACGCCTCCGATATTGTGTTTGTTGTCACCCTCGGCCTGTCGAAGATAACGACCGCAGTCTTCTACATGACCCTGTTCAAGCAGAAACTCCGTACCGTCATCCGTGGCCTTCTCGTCGGCGGTGGTGTCTGGGCTATACTGTCGGTTATACTGTTAGCCGTCCGATGTAGCCAGCGACCATGGCTCGATATCGACGCACAATGTGGCGGTTTGGTATGGTCAACGCTATCCAAAGTGACCCCATGCTGACAGACACAGTTCCAAAGATGGCAGGCAATCACCGCGATCGATATTATCCTCGAAGTCCTCCTCATCCTCTACTCCGCCCGAGCGATATACAGCATCAAGATCTCAACGCGACAAAAACTCGTCGTATTCGGCACCCTTAGTTGTCGAATCATGTAAGGTCCCTTCCCAATTCCGCGGTCCCGCTGACGAGAGCAGCCTCATCCCCCTGGCGGCTATACATCTCTACTACATCAAAGTCCAGCTAGATTCAGGTAACCCCACCCTCTATGGAGCGTTCGCCAGCATAACCGCGGAGCTCTACCTCGCCATGAGCGTCGTCTGCCTCGTCGCCTCGTTCATGAAGCCCGTGCTGGCCGTCTATGTCGATGAATACGGCATCGCCTACACGGACGATGTATCGCCGCCGAACTCCAAGTTGCGAAGTCATACCTCGTCGGATAGCAGGTCGCGTAGGTTGCAGCGGTCGGAGACAGAATACGACCGTGGCTGGGAGCGGATGCCAGATCGGACCGCCCCGGCTGCTTCAGGGGGACGCATCATAAAGACAGTGCAGATAAGTGTCAGCGATGGGCCGATGGAGCTGGAGAGGCGGGGGCCAGAGGTAGTGAATGGTGTATAATCTACTGTAGAAAGCTTCTTGGTCGATATTTGTCTTTGGACATCGTGATAGAAAGAAAATATTGCAATTTCTCAATTAGGAAGGAGCTGTCTGTTCGTAACAGAGGTAAGATACAGCTCGCTGATATCATCCCTAAGCTGCGGCTTGACACCTGCTTCAGCTGTCATGTTAATAACTGAAACCGTATGTGGCTGCCCCGTTCAGTCCACTGCGTCAGTCGAAAAAGGGAGTTGATCAAAGAATTGGTGCCAAACGTCAAATTCGGAGACTTTATGAGGTTGTGATAAACGAGACGCAATGAAATAGTTGTGTTGGATTGCCTACAGAATTGGGACTTCTCATTGTGTCGGTTTACGTACCAATTGTGTGGCAGTTCTCAGCGAGCGAATAGATAACTTTCGGGAGTCCCGACAGTATCCGACGGAGATTAAGGGGTTGCAATGGCTGGCTAACCTCGTTAATTTGAGACTAATGCATACATCAAAGCTAAATCGAGTTATATCAACACAAATTCATAAGAATGATAGTCGT